TCCCTGTCACGACCTGTCTCATCACGCTCTGCCCGCCCCACATCCCCTCTCACTCCCCCCCCCCCACCCACCCACCCTCCCCCCCCCAGGGCACCATCGAGTTCTCCTCGATCCTGTTCATCCCGGGCATGGCGCCCTTTGACCAGCAGAACTGGAACGCCAAGAGCCGCTCCATCAAGCTGTACGTGAGGCGCGTCTTCATCAGCGATGAGTTCGACGAGGACCTCATGCCCCGCTACCTTTCATTCGTCAAGGGTGAGGGGTTGCCGGGGGCGGTTTCGGTGTTTTGTAATGTGCTTGCTTGATGGGGGAGTGGATGGTGTGGACGCTGCATTCAAGTTGGGGGCCGCCATCGGGCCTGCCTGTGCCATTCACCGGCTCGTCGGAGCCGGAGCTCTATGACTGTGCGGCTTGTGTCCGAACTGGTGGTGCGCAGAAGATTGTTCGTGCAGCCCGCGCGTGGCCGCTGCCGCCTTTGGTGGCCAGGTCCACAGTGATCCCGGCAGAGCGTCTCCTCGTGGCACCCCCCCTCCCCCCTCTACGGCCGCGGCACCCCATGTACAATCTGCAATCCAACCCCGGCCCCGGAACGCCCCACCCCCCTCCAGGTGTGGTTGACTCGTCCGACCTGCCCCTGAACGTGAGCCGCGAGATCCTGCAGGAGAGCCGCATCACGCGCGTCATCCGCAAGCAGCTCATCCGCCGCAGGTGAGGGGCCCCAGGGGGCGGCGGCGCGCGGTGGTGGGTAGAGGGGAGTGCAGGAGGAGGGACGCTTGCTGGGGTTGGGGGAGGGGGCGAGATCAAGCGCCTCAAACGACGTGCTGTTGCTGCCGCGCACGCGGGCCTCGCGGGGCGGCGGGGGGCCGCTGGCTTGTACGCCTCGTGACCACCCAGCCAACGGCATGCGCCCCGCCCCCCTCTCCCCCCCAGCCTTGAGATGATGGATGACCTGGCGTCCAAGGAGGGGGGTGAGGACTACAAGACCTTCTGGGAGAGCTTTGGCCGTAACCTCAAGGTGGGCGCTGCGCTGGAGGGGCATCCTGGGGGCGCCGCAGGGGCACCCCGAGGGTGTTGGGGAGGGGGAGTGGGCCGGGGCTTGGGGCGCGCGGCTGCTTTGAGGAAAGAGCAGCTGCTGGACTGCACGCGTGCAATTCAGCAGCTCTTCGGCACGCGCGCACTCCAGCAGCTTCATTGACGGTTGGGGGGCGCGCCGCCGGCCTTGTTGCAGGCGCACACACGCCGCCTCTGTCCTGCCCCTCTCTGATCCCTGCACACTCCCCCCTTGATGTATATCAAGCATCGCCAAATTCAAATGGGCCAGCCGGCGTCCAGCCCTAATCATCCCCCACACGGACGCATGCCCTCCCGTAAAACCACACTTTTTATCCACCCATCCAAATCAAAACCCCAAACCCTCGACCCCTAAACAAGTGCTCATCGCCCCTCCCCCTCCACCCCCCCCCCAAAGGTCGGTGTCATCGAGGACCAGGACAACCGCCCCCGCCTGGCCAAGCTGCTGCGCTTCTTCAGCTCCAAGTCTGAGGACGCCCCCACCAGCCTGGAGGCCTACGTCAGCCGCATGAAGGAGGGACAGAAGGGCATCTACTACATGGTGGGTCCAGGGTTTTGCGGCCAGGGCTCAGGGCGCCACGTGTTTTGAAGCACAGACGCAACTGCGACGCGCCCCCGGCGCACAGCGCAAGGCGCACCGCGCGTGTGCTACGACGCCGGCAGGCGGTCGTTGACGCCTTCCCCCGCCAGCCAGCACCCTCCGGTCCGCCGCCCCTGCTCGGCCGCACCTCATCCCGGCCCTGCCACCAAACGCCGCCGCCCCTCCCCCCCTCTGAGCCGCCCGGCGCCCCCCTTCCCCCACCAAGCACCGGCACCCCCTGTCTTGACCGCCATCCCTGCATGTCACTTGTTACCCCCGATTGATTATCCCTTGACACACCACCATCCCCGCCTCGACCCCGCAGGCCGCGGACAGCGTGGAGGTGGCTGCTGCGGCGCCTTTTGTTGAGAAGCTGGCTGCCGACGGCTACGAGGTGCTGTACCTCACGGAGGCCATCGACGAGGCCGTGGTGACCAACCTCGGGAAGTTCAACGATCTGGACCTGGTGGACGTGTCCAAGGAGGGGCTGGACCTGCCGCAGGGGGAGGAGGACGCCAAGAAGGTGCGAGGAAGCTTTGCTTTGCGTCGTTTTTGTGTCGGCGTCGAGTGTTCAGGCGTCCAAGGGCATGCCCTGTGGCTGCTGTTTTGGGTGCTCGCCCTGGGCGGCGGCTGGCGCTGGGCTGGGGGTGCGGACTGAGGGGGGATGGGGATCTCTTTTCGCCCCGTTGGCCGCGGGGCATGCAGGCCAGCAACACTCTCAGGAGTGGCCCCCAAGTTGTTCTCGTCCCACCGTGTAACGAGCGCTTTGGGGCCCCCTGGTACATGCCCAATCAGACCCTCGCATCGGCGACGGCGCGACACAGCGCACAACACGACTCCACTGCCCCGACTCCCCACCCCCCAAACCGCAGAAGGAGGAGCTTGAGAGCTCGTTCAAGGACGTGACGGCCTTCCTGAAGGAGACCCTGGGGGAGCGCGTTGAGAAGGTGGTGCTGTCCTCGCGCCTGCTGGACTCGCCCTGCGCGCTGGTGACGTCCAAGTTTGGGTGGAGCGCCAACATGGAGCGCATCATGAAGACCCAGGTGGGTGGTGCCCCCATCTGGTCGTTCAGCCGGCGATGATTGAGTCGGCGACAGACGCCCCTTTGGCGGGGCGGCTTCGAGCCTGGGTCGAGGGGACGGAGCCCGCGCACTGCGGCGCCGCTGCCCTCACATGGTGCAGTTTGGGACCGATGTCCCTTGAGCCCGGGCCCGTCCGGCTGCGGACGGCTCGGCGGGCCCTGCAGGGGCGCGTCCGCCCATTCCCCTTCTCCCGCTGCGTCGGCGGGCCTCGCACCCCCTCGCGCCGTACGCCTCACCTCGCATCCCCCCTCTTCACACCCCCCCCCCCAGGCCATGGGTGATGCGCGCGCCATGGAGTACATGAGGGGCCGCAAGATTCTGGAGGTCAACCCGGATCATGACATCGTCAGGGGCATCAAGGTACGGGGGCGTGTTGCTTGACACCGCGCGTTGGGGTGCGCGTAATTGTGTGTGTCCGTGCAGGTGGTTTGGATCAAGCGGAGTGGTCATGCGAAACTGTTTTTCCGCAAAGCATGTCTTCATTGTTATTCTGGGGGCGGAAGAAGCAATTGGTTGGTTGTGCTGGTGACACAGGGGATGGACGTGTCTTGGAGTGACAGGGTGTGAGGTCCGTACGTTTTTTAAGAAGGTGTTGTGCCTAGTTTGGTGCCTGGTAGGGTGCTGGGCCAGCAAGGCGCGTGGTTGCTGCCCCTGATGAAGATTCCAGCATAGGGCCGTTCTCAGAAAACATTCGCAGTGCCCGTCTAGAGCTTTCGCCCTTCGCCGGGCTCGAGAGCTGTTGCGGTGGAAACCTTCCTTGGATGTCTGAGGCAGCAACCATGTGTGTCCCGTGCGCGTCACCGTGTCGTCTCGACCTTGCTTGTTGCGCCCCCTGGTTCTCCCCCACCTTGTGTGCTGGGCCATGGCCCACACCGATCACCACAATTGCTTCACGCCTGATCATACCCTCCCTGTCACCACCCCCTGCAGGTGCTGCTGGCGGACGGCGACAAGCCGCGTGCTGCTGACCTGTCTGTGCTGCTCTACGAGACCTCCCTCCTCACCAGCGGCTTCAGCCTCGACTCTCCCCGCGACTACGCCCAGAAGGTGCGCCCCCAGCCCCCTGTCGCATCGTCGGCTGGCCCAGGGGCAACGACTTTGAGGGGTTGCTCCCTCGCCGGGCGTGCCCCGCGTGTGCGCCTTCTAGCTGTTTTGCCGTCTGCCAGCGGGCCCCGGCCGCGGGCGCCTCCATCCCTTGGGTCAGGCTTGGCGGCGCCCCTCCGGCTTGCCCTCTGTCGCGCGGGCTGCACCTCGGTCAATCGCAGCCTTGTCGGTCTCACCCACACCCACCACGTCTGCACACGCGCCTCCTCCCCCTTTTTCCTGCCCCTCCAACCAACTGTTTTAACCCCACCACGACCCCCCCTCAACCTCCCAGGTCTTCACCCTGATGAACTTCGCCATTGGCAGCGACGCCCTGCCGGACGACGACACCTCGGCGCCCTCAACCTCGGCCAGCAGCGGGACGGCGGAGCCAGTGGAGGCCGAGGTTGTCAGCAGCGACCCCAACGACCCCTGGGGCAAGAAGTGAGGCGTCGGTTGTGCGCCGTGCTTCGCTACGCCGCTCCCGGTGATGAGCACACCCACATGTGGCTCTGTGCACGAGGCCTCGTGCATGAATTCGTGGCGTGGGTGCTCGACGGGCGCAACTTAGGACGGGGGGGCGCGGCGGGGTGAGGCAGCCCTTCGCTCGCTAGAAGCCGGGTCGCACACGCCGGGGGCGGTGCTGCGACGCGCCGGGCCCCGCCATCGGCCGGCCCTGCCCCCTCGCCGAAGCCTTGACTCTTGTGCAGCTGTTGGCCACTGCGGGGTCCCAAGCCGCGCCCGTGGGCGGCGGCGGCGGCAGCCGAGGCCTTGTCAAAGGCAGGATCGATCTTTTGGATCCCAATGTGTTGCTGTGCTCGTCGCTTGTTTGTATGAGCTGTTTGTCAATGTCTATTTACCCCTGTTCTTCCCCAGCGCTCGCCCCCGAGCCGCACGTCTTTTTGTCCCCCTCCTCAAATCTGTGGGGCGATTGCCCCACAGGTTTCAGCGAAGCAGCAGCAGGGGGCGGTATCGCGCAGAGCCCGCCACAGGGAGCTGAGAGAGTTGCCCCTGACCCATTTTATACGAGCCCTGTTCCTGCCGTGGCGACCCCATTTGAGCTGCTGGCCAGCTGCACTTGCCCCTCCTCTTCCCTGCACATATGCTGTAATGGGGCCCACAGATCTTTTGATGCAGAGCCCTTCTGCCTATCTGGCTTGCTGGCTGGCGCGGGACTGGATGTGGAAGGGAACAGGGAAGCAGCAGATGACCAGACGCCAGACAGTCGCAGTGCAGCATGCAACGCAGGCCAGGGACAGTAAGGTTGAGGGATCACCACTGCGTGTAACATCAATTCGAGCTGGACAGCTCAGTTTGCATTTGGGGCGTACGGCAGTTGTCAAGTGATTTGGATCATCGCCTTGTAGCATTCAAATTCTCAGTTGTTGAGACGGGGCGGGGCACTGTTGTCTTGCGGCGTCCGGGTCGGTTGCTGACGTGGAGCGTGAACAGTGGTTGGTGTCGCACAGGGCCGCGACACAACCGGATCAGCACGCTCGGAAACACAAGAAAAGCAGAGATTTTGAGCAATTGCAATCCTCTGGTGCGGCGGGACAGGCCGGATTGTTCAATCCGCGTCCTGATGTTCAGCCCTCGCTGCCACCATCAGCCCGAATGCATGTTTCAAGCAACAAGCTAATCGTACAGATCCCGATTTTTGGCACGGCCCACGCGCGTCTCACCCCTGCCCAGCTCCACTGCCTTCATGCCTTGCGTGCCCACGCCGTCACTCAAGATGTGCATGCTTGCAGCCAGCCGTCGACTTTGCCGCAGCGGCCGGCGGCATTCAACTGCTGGTAATGGCACAGAGAATTTCAGGGGTGCAAAGGATGTGTGGCTCAGGATCGTCCTTTTGTACCCAGTGACTCGCGGCTTGTGCGTGACAGTGCGTTACGTCAGCGGCCGCCACGCCTGCTTCAAACCCTCCCAATTCACGCTCAAACCCACATTTGCCACACAGCACAATTCTTCAAAGACATATTTATCAAATTTTGAATTCCGCACGCCTGCCAAATAGCAAGGATGCGTGTCTCCTCCAGCGTGCACCAGCCCGCGGGCGCCCGCCACGTGCGCGCCCCCCCGCGCCGCGCCGCGCCCCCGCCCCCCCGCGCCGGCAGCAACGGCAACGGCGCCTCCGGCCCCGCGCCCAGCCCCCATCCGGCCCAGCTGCTGTCTTACTTGGGAGGTGCCCCCGCCGCGACGCTCGAACCCCAGGCCAATGGGAAGGCGCGGCCCGCCAAGGGCGACGAGGCGGCGGCACAGCAGCAGGCGCCCGCGGGCGGCGCCAGCAAGACGACTCTGCTGCCTGTGTATGCGCCCGACGAGGTGTTCGTGTGCCCCGAGGAGTCGAGCTGCTACTCTCAGGCTCTCGAGAAGCTCGTTTTCGGCAGGTGTGGCCAAGGGAGGGCGGGCGGGGGTGCGGCAGTAACTGGCGGGCCGCGGCTGGCGGGCGCCGCGGTCGCAGTGGGCGGGGGCCCAAGCGGTGCAGGAGAGCCGCGAGCCCCCCTGGGTGGCGGAAACCGCCATGCTGACTAGGACTACCTGCTGGCGTTTCGCTCGCAGCCGGCCCTCGCCGTCCCGTGCATGGACCGGCCCCTCGCCTCCGCGGTCGAAGCAGCAGCGACCGTCAGGCTGCTGACAATGCCCTCCACAACGCTCGCATCGCGCACGCGCCCTCGCCCCCGCTTGGTCCGCACCCGCCCGCTCTCACCGCCCGCCTCATTTTCTCATCGCTCACCCCACCACAGGCCCGACGCCCCAGAGACCGTTGTGGAGTTTGGGGCGGGTGACGGGGCCCCCGTGATCTCTGCGCTGCTCAAGACGCCCTATGACGGCGCATGCACCGCGTTTGAGCTCAACGCGTCGGCGGCGCAGGTCGCCAGGAGCCGCGCCCAGCAGTTTGGCCTCGGCAGCAGGTGTGGCTGCGCTGCGCGCGAGGCGCCGCGGCCGCTGCGCAGTGGTCGCGGTCGGCCTGCTTGCCGTCAGCTCCTTCCATGCCTCGTCGGTTGGAAGTACAGCCGTGCTCGCGAACCGTCCAGCCGGCCCCGCTGCCTGTGGCCGCTGAGCACGCCCCTCTCCAGCGTCCACGAGTCCCGTCCCTGTCGGGCTTCATAGCCCCCAGGGCGCTCGCGCCCGCGGCCTCCCCCAAAGTACCCCTTGGCTATCACACTCTCCCATCATAGCAGCTGACCCCCCCCCCACCTCACATACACACACCCGCACTCCCTCCCCCCTCTCTTGTGCGCGCGCACCTGATAACATCCAAAGGTATGAGGTCCGCACAGGCTGCTTTTTCGAGGGCGCCGCCAGCCACCTTGAGGCGCTCAGCCCAGAGGACGACTCCAGCTGCCTCATTAGTAACCCGCCCTACCTGCCGGCCCGAGGTGCGTGCGGCAGGACCTGCTGCAGGGCGGCTGCGCGTCGCCCGCAGCGCTGCGACGGGGTCGGTCTGCACTCTATCTTGTCTGAATTTGATTGCGAGAAGAGTGCAGGGCCGCACGTGTGAGTGAGCGGCTGTGCCGTTCCCGGGCGCCTGCGCGTCGTTCTCGCCACATCAGCGCGTTGCTGTTTTGTGATGCCCATGGCGACGCTGGTTTTTTCAAATGTTGCGGTTGGCCGCCCTCGCTTGCAAAACGATGCTCGGCGCAGTGGGGCCGCGGCACAGGCGTGGAGCGTGCAGCCTGCATGCCCGCACTTTAAAGCATATGGTCTCCAATCTCATCCCTTCTTCTGCCTCATCTCCCTCCTTGGTGTTGCCTTCTGCCTACCCCCCCCCCCCCCAGACCCCGAGGGCCTGCTGATGCCGGCCCTGTACGGCGGCAGGGACGGGGCGGAGCTCACGCGGCAGCTGCTGTCCCTGGGCTTCCCGCGCGCCATGATGCTCGTGTCTGGTGGGCAGGGCCTGGGGGGGGGGTGACGGGCTCGTCTAAGCAGGTGCATCATTCCTCTGGGAGTGACAGGGCATTTGTCGCCTATGCGCCAACAGAGGGGAGGTTGTGAGAGCAGCACCAGCACAGTATGTCCCATTGTAAATGTTTCTCAAGTATACACCCATTGGTGCGACGATTTATTCTCACGCTCGCCCAACCCCTGGCTGACCTGCGACTTTGCCACTTGTCCCCTGGTGTGCCCTCGCCCACGCCCTCATCGTTCCGCAGCCTACTCCAACCCGGTGTCTGTCCTGCGCCACGCCGCCAAGGAGGGATACGGCGTGTACGACTTCTCCGCCTGGCCCCTGCCCTTCGGCACCTACTCGTCGCAGCCAGAGGTGCGCCGCATGCCACGCCAGGCGGCTTTGCCACTCACCCCTGCCCTTGAGCTGCACGTCGAGGACGAGCCGCCCCCAATTTCAGGCCCCCCCCCCGCCGAGCTTGTTACGGTTCTAGTTGTTTGCTGGGAAGCAAACGTCCTCTCTTGCTGGCGCGCGCCAGCTGCAGGCAGCACACCACACAACGTGCATGCTGGCGGTCACCGGCACATCCCCGGCACGCGCTCGGGCCCCTGCATTGAACTGTGCATCCATGCGGCAATTCTGACATCTCCAAACCGCCTGTACCCGCGTGCACGTGTCACCAGGTGCGGCAATGGATATCAGAGATGAAGCGCCGCGGCGAGGCCTTCTACTCCGAGCGCTCTGGGATGTACCTCATCGCCGGCGTCCTCTTCCGCAAGCGCAGCTCTGACGATGACTGGCCGGACCTCTCGGCCGACGTTCTGCGCGTGCTGACCGCCCTGTAGATAGAGGGGTGCTGGTCCAAAACTGGCTTCTTGGTGCTGGGCCCCTTTTGGCCAGGGCACGCGAACTGGCGCTTGCACCTCTCATGTGCTATTACTTGCGCAGCCTGTTACCTGAAGGGTGTTGTGGCGCTGTTTCAAGCGCTACTTGACGGCTGATGCAGGATGCGGCCAACTCTGCTTGTGGCAAGTTTCTCTGCAGGTGGATATATATCCCTGGAGTTTTTGCTTGACGAGCTGCCTTTTCTGACATCGAAATAGGCATGCAGCAGAAGAACCAATCGATCATTTTGGCGATTTGGCCAAAAGCTACCTCCTAATTTTGGCAGGTCCTAGTCTCTACCTAGACACGGCAAACCAATTGCGCTTTGCCAATGCATGTTGTACAGCCACCCCCCGCCCTGCATCTTCAATGTGCCACTGAGCACATAACCGCCTCTGCCTCGACCGCTCTTGCTACAATTCACCCCATTTTGTGAACATCCATCGCTTCGCCACCGCCAAGCTTATGCACGCAAGCATGCCAGGGCAATACTGGTGGTTGGGAGGCTGCCAGCTCCGCGTCCTGCTCGTCTGCCTGCTTGACTGTACATATTTTGTAACTGGGCAGTTGTGTGCCATTGTGTAAGCTTTTTGTGGGCCTGATGACGAGCTTATAAACGGTGCAAAACATCAGTTAGTTGGGTGCATGGCGTCTCTAAAGCATCCAGCCTCCACAAACCACACACAATAGCATCCTCGCCACGTGCACCGCACCTGCAGGCCCGCATCAATAACAGCAGTCTGCGTTGGCTTATGGGCAGCGCGCGCGCCCACCCGCAAGCGATTTTCCTCCGCCAGGCCTCAGCCCATCCCTGCCGCACGCAAGCTAGTGGATTTCGGCACACTTACACTTTGGCGACCGCCCTGCCCTGTCGTGCCTGAAGCCGCTGCAAGCTTCTTGCCCTGACAGCAGTGAAACCAAGCTTGACAAATCGTGTTACAAGAGGAAACACCCCGCCGATCAACAACCCCAACAATGCTGCCCAAACGGCGGCGGCAAGGGCCCCCGCACCGACCGGACCACGGCGCCGAAGTGCGGCCGGAGCCTCTGCTTGCAGGAGCGACGGGCCCCATTGTGACAGCGGGCAGGTCGGCCGAGGGCCACGGGGCCGCCGCCTCCCCGCCCTGGTGACCTGCGGGACGCTGGCATCGACACCTTTGATAGGCGCCAGTGGAGGTCATGACGCAACCGCCAGCCAGCCTCTAGGCGTGGCTCAAGTCGTGGCGCCCTGGCGTGCGACCACAAGAAGTGGTGCGCGCAGCAAAGGACGCAGATGCGCGCACAAGAGTCGTAAGCAGCGGCAGTGGCCGTCGCTCCCTCCGAAAACCCAACCCCCACAGTTCCATCTCCCTGCCTTTGGTCAGTGCTGCCACCCTCACAGCGTCAAACACGCAAGCATCATCCTGATAAATCGGCCCTCTTTCCCTGTCAGCCACAAGGCGAGGGCGTATCTGCCCCCCAGGCCCTCCAGGCCCCTGCCCCCTTCACTCCTGGTCGCGCGGCGTCGAGCGCACAGCCATCTCCCTGTGCGCCGCCTCCCTCTGCGCCGCTGGCGCCGGCGCGGCGGCCGGCCGCTTCGCCCTCTTCTTCGGGCTCCCCGGCGCACCGCCGCCGGCCGCGCCGCGCGCGCCGGCGCCCGCGCCCGCGCCTGTGCGGGCGTCATCCCCGGCGCCCTGGCCCACGCCGCCGTTCGTCCCCACGCGGCGCGGCGGGAGCGCGACGAGGGAGGGGCGCGCCTCTGGGTCGAGCCCCGGGTAGTCGGGGGAGAAGTGGCCCCCGCGGCTCTCCTTGCGCTGCAGCGCGCACGACAGGATCAGCCTGGCGCACGTCAGCAGGTTGGACAGCTCCACCAGCGGCGCCGACACGCCGTGGCGCGCCGCGGCGGCCGCAGCCTCGGCTGACAGCTCCTCCACACGCGCGAGCGCCGCCGCGAGCGCCGCCTCGCGCCGCACGATGCCCGCCGCGCGCCACATCAGCGCCTGCAGCTCCCCGCGCCGGCCGGCCGCCCACTCCGCGGGCGCCGTCGCAGCCGCCGCCGCCGCGCCAGCGCCCGCTGGCGCCGCCGTTGCGGCGCGGCGGAGCTCGCCCCCGCAGTGGCGGAGCGCATACTCCGCGTGCGCGACGCTCGGCCCCGCCGCGCGGTCCGCAAACACCAGCCCCTCCAGCAGCGAGTTGGACGCCAGCCTGTTGGCGCCGTGCAGGCCGCTGCACGCGACCTCGCCGCACGCGTAGAGGCCCTGCACCCCCGTCTCGCCGCGGAGGCCCGTCGCGACGCCGCCGCACGTGTAGTGCTGCGCGGGCAGCACAGGAATGGGGTCCCTCGTGATGTCGATCCCGTCCTCCTTGCAGCGCGCCGCTATGTTTGGGAAGTGCGACAGCACGTCGCGCGCCGGCTTGTGGCTGATGTCCAGCCACACGTGATCTGATGCATGACTCATCATCTGGTCCTGGATCGCGCGCGCCACCACGTCGCGGGGCGCCAGCTCAAGCCGGTCGTCATATGACGCCATAAAGCGCTCGCCTGCGGCCGTGGGGAGTGTTATCAGATTTCAAGTTATAGATTGAGCAGGAAGGGCGGGGCAGGGCGATTTTCAGGGTCGCGCCGTGCAACCGTTTGGAGGCGCCGCTGCGCCAAGAGATGGGCAGCGACACGTGCACCCGAGCAAATCCCCAACCGGCTGTCCGCCCAGCGAGCCGGCGCGCGGCGCAGCGCATGAGGGCGCAGCACCCTGCGGCGCGCCACACTCGTCACCCGCCGCCCCAGCCGCGCTGCCAACCGGAGCTCACGCCCTGACTGCCCCCCAAACACACACTGGCGCTCAGCCCGCACCCACCGCGGGAGTTGAGCAGCACGCCGCCCTCGCCGCGCACCGCCTCGCTGATAAGAAACACCCGCCCCGCCTCGCCACCGCCGCCGCCGCCGCCGGCCCCCTTCTTTGAGAACAGGGCCGTCGGGTGGAACTGCACAAACTCCATGTTAGACACGGCCGCCCCCGCGCGGTACGCCATGGCGATGCCGTCCCCCGTCGCGACGTGGGGGTTGGTGGTGTTGGGGTACACCTGGGGGCGCGCGGGGGCGGGCAGCGATGCACACCGAGGGCCGGGAGTGAGTGAGGTTGGCACAAAGGAGTATTTGGGGATGAAATGGCACTGATAAGTTTCGTGGTGGGATGGTGGAAACACAGTAAAGTCTTGCAGAGCTTCTGTGAAGCACCATTCCTCGCCGGGGGCCCTGGGCTCTGCCGCCGCCGCGCGGCCGGCGCGCACCTGCCCCGCGCCGCCGCTGGCCAGCATGGTGGCGAGGGAGAGGAAGCGGCACGCGGTGTTGCTGCGCGTGTCCAGCACGTCAACGCCAAAGCAGTGCGGGGCGCCGCCCACCTGGGGGCGATGGTTTGGTGGGGGCGGGCGCCAGGGTGGGTGTTGGAGATGGGGCGCAAGCACGACTGGCTGCCGGGAGCATGCGAGCATGCGGCTGCGCGTACGGCGGCTTTGCCAGAGGCCAGATGCAGCTGCAATCAGCGAGTCGGCTTACCCTCTCACTGCCTATCGCCGCTTGTCTTGGCGCGCGGGCATACGCCCCCCCCCCCACACACACACACATACACACACGCACACACCACGGCACCCACCCCCTGTCGCCCGTGGTCCCAGGGCCCCAACCAGCACATAGTCAGCTCGTGGTCCCAGGGCCCCAACCAGCACATACTCAACGCCAAAACTCGGCTGCACGGCCCACCTCATCCGTGACCAAGTCCACCGCCAGGTGGTGCTCGAAAAACTCAACATTCCCCGTCGCCCGCGCCGCCGCCAGCAGCGCGCGCTCGATCTCTGCGCCGGTCAGGTCGGCCGCGTGCACGATGCGGCGGCCGCTGTGGCCGCCCTCGCGCGTGAGGTGCAGGGAGCCGTCGCGGTTGCGCGTGAAGTCTGCGCCGAGCTGCACCAGCTCGAGCACGCGCGCGGGGCCGTGGCGGCACACCACGTCGACGGCCCTTTTATGGTGGAAGTGGCAGGGATACATCAAGTTGGTTGCAGCTAGGTTTACGAGCAGGTGCTTGTCTGGTGGGGCTGTGAAGTGGGGGGTGGTTGCATGGCGCTTGCGCATGCTGCGCAAACCGCCCGGCAACTGCATGCATGTGCACATAAAGAGGAGCGAGTGTAAAGGCACTTGGCATGCACCAACATGCCATGGTGCAGTGGCAGCCGTAGCAGCGGCAGCAGTGGCAGCAGCAGCAGTAGCAGCAGTAGCAGCAGAACCGGCAGTGGCAGCAGCAGCGGCAGCAACAGCAGCAGCTGTGGCACGCTGAAAGAAGGGCGAACATCTGCTCTTTGCCCACTGTGACCGCCAGCAGCTGCGCCGCATGCGGAGGCCCCCACATCCACCACAGGCGCCATGCAGCACATGCAATCCAGGAAAGAGCGCTCACTTGGGGTCGTTCAGAAAGGCTCCTGCCACCATGGTGTCGTGCACGTGCTGCTCGATCGAGTCGAGGGGGTCCAGCACGGCGCACACGCCGCCCTGCGCGTAGCGCGTGCAGCCCTCGCCGGCGCCGTCCTTCGTGATCACTGCCACCTTGCCGTAGGGGGCCACTTTCAGGGCGTAGGACAGGCCCGCGATGCCAGAGCCGATCACGACGAAGTCGAACTGGCGGACGGCGGGCCCGGCGGTCGGGGCTGCGGCAGGGCTGGCGCTTCGTGCACCGGCGTCGCGGTCTGCGCGAGGTGCGGCGCCGCCGCGGCGCACGGCAGCGCGGGCCGAGGCGGGGCGGGCCGAGGCGGGGGTGGCGGCCGGGCGGCGAGCGCCGCGGAAGGTGGGCGCCGAGGGGGCGGAGGGGCGGCGTGCGACGGCGACGGCTGCGCAAGGGCGCCTGGCGAGGGTCGCCATGCTGGGCGGCGCGCTGGGCAGTCCGTGGGCGGCTGGGCGGCGGTGCGCTGGTGGGACGTCGTGGTGCTGTCTAGGGGTGTCTAGAGGCTATTTACGCAACCAAGAGCTGCACAGGGTACTTCTTGTTCCAGGCCCAAAGGCGCTTGGCCAACATGGTCGCAGCCTCAGACGATGAAGGCTACAAGAGCATGAGCATGCGGCGCCGCGCTGCGCTGTGGGGCAGGCCGTGACACAGAGAGCGCGCCGAGGACGTATGCTATGTGCAGATAGCCTGTCAGGGGCAGTGGAAGGAGCAGCGGGGCGCTGCGCGAAGCACACGCAGCCTGGTTGGGCAACAAGTACGGGAACGATCAACGAACGGAACATACCAAAACAAGCGAAGGATCATCGTAAACAACGCTGAAGCGAAGTCAGGCGGGTGCGAGAGAGGCAGGCTCGACTGCTGCTGCCGCCGACCTGGCACAGCCAGCCAAACCCTGTACTGTACTACATGTGACTGTCCTGCTCCTCTGTGCATCAAGTTGGCTTCTCTACATGTGAAATTCAATGGCTGAAGTTGTGCACCATGCTGGTGCATATCATGTCAGGCGCCAGGTGCACCACGCTGGATCTTGGCGCCTGACTCGTCACACAGCTGACGCTCTGCAGCCCACGGCCCCAACGTCAAAGGACATCTCAGGCACAGACCGTGATTACATGCTGTTTGGTGATCATGAGCATTGTACTACCGCGAAGAAAGTACAGCCAGCCAATCTCAAGTGTCGCCCCATCGCAGGTGTTGTGTTTTGTGGTGGTGTTGTGTTGGATCGCGCAACCTGCGCGTGCCACTCCTGTGTGTTGCTGTGTTAGGCATGGGCAAAACTTTGCGGCATATCTCACCAAGCTGTGGCAAGCAGGAACGTCAAGGGCACAGCACACTCAAGGGGCGCGTGCATCCCGCAGATGCAGGCGCCCCTGCCCCATCGCGCAAGCACTGCGCCAACGGCACACGTGACTGTGCCCTCCAGCCGGGTGAGGTGGCAGGCGGGGCGCTGATAATGTAACGCACAGACCCGCTGCCGCCCGCCCCCACAGCGCGCATGTTCAACGTGTGCCCTAGCGCCCACGGACAAGCCGCTGCGCCCTCGAAGGCGGGCTCTCAAAAGCACAAAAGGCTGCCCTCTCGCCTGCTTCTCAGCAGAATATCGCGCCTCACGTCCCACACGCCTGGCCTCAAAACATGACACCCCCAGCCGACCCGCACGGAGCCCGCATCCACAAGATGACACGTGTTGCTGCGGCCGTTCAGTCGGCGCGGGCTTTGCGCCTTCCCTCAACACCCTGGCCTACCCCTGTCGCTCCACCCCGGCGTCGGTGCCCGGCCAGGCCAGCGCCAGCAGCGCCCGCGCCCTAACGACCCCCCTTTCACTCTGCCCCCCCCCTCGCGCAGGTCCCCTCACTTCGAGGGGGCGGGCAGGCCGCGGCGCGAGGTGATGGTGCGCGTGATGTTGGGCAGCGGCTGCAGCCCCGCGCCCGCGTCGGGCTTGACCAGCAGCTTGCTGCCGACCCAGCCGTTGCGGCCGTCAAAGCCGCCGTCGATGACGTACACGCGGCCGAAGCCGCGCTTGGAGAGCTCCTTGGCGACGGTCTTGGCGGTGGAGCCGGTGCGGTCCAGCAGGAGGACCTTGGAGCCTCGGCCCAGGCGCTTGAGGGACGCGATCTGGATTGCGGTGACCTGAGGCCGGGGGAGATGTGTGTCCGTGTGTGTTTGTGACCGAGGTGATTGGAGTGTGTATGTTTGTGCGTGTGCGCGCGCGCGCGTGTGTGTTTGTGTGGGGGTACTGCAGATAGAGATGCCGCACACACTGGCACGCAGAGCACCCCGGCTCTTGTGGCGAGCCGCAAGCCAGCAGCCCCAGCCCGTAGCCCTACGCCCCGCCCACCTGCGCCTCAATGAAGCCAGCATCGCGCAGGGAGCCGCGCAGCTTCTTGTCCTCGATGGTGGCGTACTCCACGGCGACCAGCTTGTTGCCGCCGCCGGGGACGTCGGGGATGCCGCTCGTCTCCTTCTCCTTCTGCACAGGGGACAGCGGCGGAGCGGGTGCAGCCACTCCCTCAGCCGGCCCGCCTCCCCACTGTGATGCATCCCCAACCTCACGTGCTCATCACTCTCCCGCAGGGATTTGGAGGCAACCGCTGCGAGATGCACGCGTATCAAGGGGGCGCGCCGAGCGCGCCTGTACAAGCGGGCCCCAGCCCCAGCGACGCCGCCGGGTACGGCCGCGCGGCGCACGCGCGCGCGCGGGCGTGCGCGCGCACCGGCGTGCGGATGTCGACGATGACGGCGTTGCTGTCGCCATTTATGGCCTCCAGCGCCTGCACCGCGGTGATGTCGCCGGCGTAGCCGCGGATGCCGCCCAGCAGGCCGCCCAGCAGCAGGGGGGACAGCAGGTAGAGGGCGACGGCCCCCAGGCCGTACTCGGCCAGCTCAACAGGGGAGGACGACGAGAGGAAGCTCAGGATCTGTACCGTATCCAGGGGGGCGTGTTTGTGTGGATGTGTGTCATTTTGCGAACGAAGGGGGAGGGATGTGTGTGCGGACGCGCACGTGCGTGCACATGTGTGTGCGTGCACATGTGTGTGTGTATGTGTGTGGATGAGTGTGTGTGTGTGTGTGTTCGCGCGCGCACACACATGTGCTTGTGCACAAGCGCACATGTGCACAAGTCAGCGTGCATGTATGCACCCTCTGCCCTGACGATTTTGGAAAAGTAGGGCCCAACAAGCGGGGGCGCCGGTGAACGCCACCTGCGCCGCGCCGCCCTGCTCCTCCGCACCTGCTCGAGCACGGGCTTGGCCGCGACGGCGCCGTCGGTCGCGGTCTTCGCGACGTTGGCGCCCGTCTTGGCGACCGCGTCCAAGTCGACGCCGCTGGACTTGACCACGCCAGTCAGAGTGTCCTGGACCGTGGCCGCAGGCGCTGGCAGGCTGAGAGGCCGAGGCCCGAAGGTTACCCCACCGACATGAAGCTGGTGGCACCACCTCCTCAAACTCAGCCCCGCCCGCGTGCAAGAGTACCTTGACGCGCTACGGCCATCTGCGGCCGCCGGATGACCAGCATCCCCCCATCGTGCGGATTGCGCACCTGCACGATCGGGACGGCCTTGTTGATGGCCGGCCCCGCGACCTCGCTGGTGACCTTGACCGCCTCCTTGACCGCGGGTGTCACGGCCTCGACCCCCTGCTGGATGTAGGGGGACGCCACGTCGTAGCCCTCCTTCAAGGCCTGGGCGGCGCTGCCCAAAAGGTCGATGCCGCTGCGCACGGCGGAGCCGCCGGCCTGGCCAGGGCGCCGGAGAGGGGGCAGGGAGGGGTCTGGTGGGCGGTGTTCGGGAGGAACTCCCCTTGCGAGACAAGCACCTCTCAAGGTGCTGGCTAGCACATGGCGTGCGGCTCTTTGCGGCGGATGCATTGCCAGGCCTGCGCAGTGGCAGCGGCCTGGCCACGGCCTTGCGGGCTCTTTCCAGGCCGGCTTGCCATCAGCCTGCCACGCCCCTGGCCCGCTGTGGCGGCGCGCCTCTGTGTCAGCCCGCCGCCAGACACACAGCCCGCACGGCGTGCCGCATGCGCCCTGCGCAGCGAGCGCCCACCTTGACCACTTCGGTCACCGCCGAGACAGTGGCATCCACAGCATCCACGGCATCCTCGGCACGCGCCGGCTGTGCAACCAGCGTTGAGGCAGCAAGGCCAAAAGCCAGGTTCCTGGCTGTGCGGACGACGGTAGAGCGCCATGCCAGCAAGAGCGCGATTTTGGCGGGATGGACGCCCCCGGCGACCGACGTGCACGTATGCAATCTCAGCCGCTAGAAGGCGCTCTGATCTTTTGGATAGGTGGCGATCATTGTCGTGGGCACCCGGGATTGGCTCGGAGCGCTGTTGGTTGCCGGCAGCGCCCCACAAGTATCATCGGTTGGCAGGAGCTCACCGACAGGAGCCTTCACGGAAGCCCTGTGCGGCTTGGCCACAGCCTGCACATTCACGGCACGCATGCGCACAGCCATTGATGCCCAGCTGGATCTGCTCGTGAGGTACAGCGGAAGGCCCGTGTGTGGCGTTCGACAGCTACAGCAAGCTTTGTAAGTCGAATAGACATCCAAAAAATTCCATTCGCGGTGCCGGATCGAGGACGGGGCACTGCGGTGTGGCCTGATCCCGCGGCACCAGCCTCATTTGATCCCTGCCCCGGCACTGCACCACCCACGCACTCACAGAGATGTTGTCGATATCACGATTATCATTTCCAGACCTACCAACCCGGAGATCCCGAACGGTCGCACAAGTCAACTCGCCCGCCAATACTAATATACCGTACCAGCAGGCTACAGAGCTGTACAAGTAGCCGTAGCTCTGGAATCATAAGTGATGCACACGATGGGCAAGAAGGTGGATGTGGTGCTGCTACATGTGCTGCGGCGCCTTGCTGCTGTTGATGCACGCACACACTGACACGTGGCGTTTGTTTTGCATGCTGCCAGCAGCTTGCGCGTCACGCTCACAAGTACTGCACGTAGGGCGGCGGAAAGGCGGCGAAGGCAGCGGCATACGACACCAGCCCAGAAGCGCTCGCAGCGTTCGGGCTGCGGGTGCGTGCATGTCAAGGCAGCGCAGTCGCTTTTTCACTCCATAGCCATGGCTCCTGCCTTGTGACTATTGTGTGCGTGTGTTGACCTGTATCCGAATTAGCAGCAACCATAAGCTAGCTGTTAGCTGGATAGCGTCGGAGTGCCCTCAACGCCAAGGGCAAACCCCTGCCCATGACCCCCCGCGCCACTTGCTGCTGCACATGTTGCAGCACAACGAGCTCGTGAGGACGCCCCTTGGGCTCAGCGGCACGGTGCTCGGAGTCAGGTGCGCGGGGCAGTGCGGGGGCACTGCAGCGCACGGCCTTGGCAGCTGTTGCTTGCACCTTTGTGGGAACACTGCTGGATGGGCGTGCAGCCACGGCCCCAGGTTCCCGTCGCCAATGCGCTCGCACCTGTTGTTGCACAGCTGCGCCTGGCATGTGCCAAACACGTCAACCTCTCCTGAATCGGCCAATAGGTATGAGGACCCCTCGGACAAGGACAGCGGCCGCGTCTGGGTGCGGTACGATGCGGGACATGAGGCCCCATTGGAGCCCAGGCAGACGGCAGGCAGCCTCAGCGCGCTCGGGTGCGCGGATGGCCGGCACAGGCTTTGTTAGTGCTAGGTGGTAGCCTCGCCTGGCCCAGTATGCGTGCTCGGCAGCCTTGCTTGTGGTATGACAACATGTGCCGTAGATGCAAGCCATGACCGCGGCTCCTGGTGGGAGTGGGAGGTCAGTTGATGTCGACTTTCACAACCACAAGTCGCACTGGCAAATAGGAAGCATCCATATGCCATAACGCTGCGCTACCCACCGCCCACAACGCCGCTGCGGCGCCCCAGCAGGTACCGCCACTGCTTCGAGGCGGACGCGATCCGCGCCGCGGTGGCCGCGCAGGAGGCGGACGCCGCGCGTCAGGAGGAGCAGCGGCAGCTGGCCGACGAGGTCCGGAGGCTGCTGGCGGCGGGGGAGCCAATCCCGGAGCACCTGCTGCCAGCTGAGCTCAAGGAGCCGGCGGCGTCAAAGAAAGGGGGCAAAAAGGAGCCGGACAAGAAGGGGAAGAAGTGACAAAGTTGGCAGTACAGGGGCTGCCTTGTCTGGTTTGCTGTTGATGTTGGCGTTGCATCGGTGTTGTGAAGGACGCGTTGACGATTTGCAGTGCCCATTTTTGTGTGCATACTGGCCTGCCGTGTGACAACTTGCTGATATTGGCCCTCAAATCGGCTTGACAGTACTCAACAAGGGATCTCCCACTCTTGTAACAAAGGCGTCGTTGGAGTTGTGCGCGCTGACCTGCAAGGTTGGTCTGTCAGTTACAGAGTTAGCCCTACTGCAACAAGGACGGCAGGAAGGGGTAGGGCACATGGGTTGTCAACAAATTTCAATGCCAAAAGCAAGCAAGCTCTACTCTCATCTGCCCTGCCCCGTTAGAGTGCCATTTGCAGCCCCACCACTGATGTGGCACAACCTGATGCTTGTTGCCAGCGCAATAGAGGTCCAGCCTTCTCAAGCGTGTCCCTTATAAATATCTTTCTGAAGTGGCACAGTCTGATTAAGCTTGGCAAATGACCTGAACTTCAGCTCAAGCTGCGCGGCCATCTGTGTCAGCTGGGTTCTAGGTGACTGATTGAGCAGGGTGCCAGCTCGCTCAGGCCTACGACACCACAGTCACATGCAAAGGCAACGGCGCGAGCCATTCAGCGATGTTGCATCCACTCGTTCACCGTGTGCCTTCGAGCACCACATGCGTTATTTGGGCGCGGAGGCCTCCTGAGAACCTGCACGCATGGCGCGTGAACTGAGCAGCCCACTCCTTGTGCAGCCTTGCCCAACAGCTGCCGTCCAGGCTGCTCAACGTGTCTGGTGGGTGCCCTTGAGCGCTCACAAAGATGGTGTCAACCTAGCTGAGAACAGGCGTTACGCCGGAGTTCCTGCGCCTCCTTGCGCGCTGTTGTCCAAGGACTGACATTTGAGAGGCGGCAGCGCCGGCCTGACACGAGTGCAAGGATGGAGCAAGCTGGGCGACCCCCCTGCATGCGGCCATGTGTGCTGGCAGGCGATTGGGGCTTGGTACCCCAAAATTTTATTGCCGTGTGCTAGCCACTCGATGACCTGTCATCCCCATGCATTGCCCTGCGGACTGTTGTGTGGTGCATGCTTGGCGTGATGGGTGGGTGTGAACACGTATGCATCCTGGTGAGCCTGTGTAAGACTCAGCACGCGCGTGTGCATGCACGCCTGTGTGTGGGTGTTCATGTGTGTGTCCATGCGCGTGTGGTAGCAAGCAGCGGTCTATGATAACCGTCGCCTTGGCCACTGTCTGCGCTGTCGCAGACGGCTGCGTCGGCTGGGCTCCGAGCAGCTGCAATTACCCTCCAGAGTCACTAGGCTTCAGGGGGTTGGCTTGCCGCCATGGCAGCATTGCAGTGTTGCCATCAAAGCTCATCCGCTCGCTACGATTGCGAGAGCCTGTGGGGTAGCCCATCCTTTCGCAGCGGGCGCTACGCACCGCGATCTCTCGCGCTCAGCCCAGGCAATCGGCGCAGGAGCAACTAACGCAAAGATTGCTTAGCTTCCTACAATACAGCGGGACCTCGCTTGCGGGGCCACTTTCTTGGCTGCGTTGTTCTGGAGTGTTGGATCAGCAACAGCACCATGCAGTCGCATCCAGGACCTGGTATGATGCCTTATAACCCATACATGCAGCCTCCAGGTGAGCAGAGCCGCAGAGGCCTCAACGCAGCTGGCAGGGGCGATTGGCTGCCGCCCTGCTGACGCATACCCTGCAATGCCGCACGCAGCAATACAACCGGGGCCGCACAGCCACCTCACCTGCGGAGGCTGCAACACGCTGCTGATGTACCCACAGGTGCGCGCGCACGCATGGCGCACGCTGTTGCAAAGCACAGCTTTCCTGGCTGCCTGCTACACACGCCTCTGCCCCCAAGCAATCCCAATCAATCCCAAGCAACTGCATCCGCCCTCCTCGCGGCCTTCGCAGCAAGGGGCCAGCAACGTGCGCTGCTCCCGCTGCGGCCACATAACAGCTGCGCCGCCGGCGCCGCCGCCGGACCCGAACCAGGCTCAGACAGTGTGCAATGGCTGCCGCGTGCTGCTGGCGTTCCCCCGGGGCGCGCAGAGCGTGCAGTGCTCGCTGTGCCACACGGTCACGCAGGTGCGCGGCCGACCGTCTTGTGAGCCGCGCCTTGGGAGGATAGCAGCTGCTGCAAACAGCACCTCTGAAGCGCCACATATGCGCCGCTGGGCCCGCGGCGCTGCGCTTCTTCAGGACCTCGCTGTCCCTCCTGTGCGCGCTGCGCCGAAAGCGCGCTTGCGCCCCTGCCGCCACGATTCGCAGGTGCCTGTGTATGGTCACGTCCTCTGCGGGGGCTGCGGCATCATGCTAATGTATCCATTGGGCGCGCAATCGGTCAAATGCAGCGTCTGCCACCACGTGACAGGCGTCTCACAGCACGCCCCCTGGCAGGGGCTCGGCGGCAGCGGCGGGGGCAGCGGCGCGGGCGCACCTGCAGGAGCCGGCGGCAGCGGGGGCGGCGGCGCTGGGGGGCCGCCGCGGCAGCAGCAGCAGGGGCAGGGGCAGCAGTCGCAGAAGCAGACGGTTGTCGTGGAGCAGCCACCCTCGGTTGATGAGCAGGGCAACGAGGTGCCAAACATCGCCGTTGGCGTGCAGGAGGATGTACGCAAGTAGCCCAGGGCGGCGCGGTGAGAAGCTGGGAGACACCGCTTGGCCGCGGCTGCGCCTGGTGCAGTCGGGGCCCGCTGCTGCTGAGTGGGACGGAGTTGCGGAGACTAATGGGACACGCAATCATATTAATCGGGCGGCGAGATCACCTTGACACAGTTGTTTCGACGTCGCTGCGGTACAGCAGAGCCCAATCCCGCCGTGTCAGGCGGGCGGTACGAGTGTACGACCCTAATCACACATGCACAGGACCACACACAGCAGCAAGAACTTGTCCCAGACTGCGCTGCGCACAACAGAGAGCCAACTTGTTTCGTACGGCTGCTCGTGCGGCGCCGCGCCCGCGCGCGCGCGCCCTGGCCTGAGCGGTGCCTTGTCTGCACATGTTGTGTGCACGTGCGTGCTGCTACCTTGCACGCTGTTGCAAGTGCTGCTACGGCGAGTGTAAATCGTGTTGTGAGAAGTTTTTGGCAGGTTATGCCTAGTTTGAAGTGCCATTTGGTACGCAAGGGTGTAATCCTTCTTGCGCCAGTGTTGCGGCAGCATTCCCTAGTCGCGTGTCGGTTTTCACGCATGGATCGTGAGCGGCAGGGCGCACGGCACGTGGATCTGGGCGGTTGCAGGGGCGCACAGCGCTGCCTGATCGCGTAAAGGCTTGCGGCATCAGTTGCGTGCGCGCTGACGGCATGCTCTACATCAGTGATTGCGTCAACAACGCAGTCAGCAGGCAGGTGGTGCTGGTGATGTTACAGGTCACAGGCCCTCACAGGCCCCGCTTCACTTGCCGCCGCCGGAGCCGATCAGCTGCCCCACGATGGCCACCACCTGCAGCAGTGCAGGGGTTGGACAGGGGTGCGCAGGGGGCAGGTGTCGCGAGGTGTCGTGCCGGGGGCAGTGCAGAGCTGACTCATCTCGCGAGGACGTCAGCGTGTTGCACCTGCGCCTTTGCATTCGCCCCCGCGTGCAATGGCAGTGCAGTTTCAACCGCGATGCAGAGGGAAGTGCATCAAGCACAACCATGCCCTTTCCGACGCTTTCGACTTGGACCGAGGCATGCCACAGATATCTCTGGGTCGGGTCGGCTCAGCGCACCTGCCAGTACTTCGCCGCGCAGCGGTCCACGCAACTGCTCTCGCCCACGCTGAGCGTTCCCTCCTTGTAGCTGTGGGAGCCCGAGGGCGCCGATCGGGTTGGTCACGGGCGAGTGTGTCAGAAGGCGCCGCATGAGTGAGCCGCAAGGCCGGGAGGCGCGGTAGGGCGCAAGGTGGCTGTGCTGCTGGCCTGGCGCCTGCGGACGCTGCATGTCGCGCGAGCCCTCCCTGTTTGGGTTGCCAACTCACGGCTTGGCGGCGCAGGCCTTGTGGCAGCTCTCGACCATCCTGCATTTGGCCGTTGCGGGTTGGCGCTCCGTGTCTGCTGCAGGACATACTCATTATGGCGCACCCCACTGTGAGATTGCAGGCTGTGTCCTCAAAAGCCGATGCCCATGCACCTGGGAGCTTGACAGGACCCCTTACTTGTGCCCCCCATGCCTGGCACAGCATCATGCACGCGCAGCGGGCTTCGCTGCACTGCCACGATGGCGTCACCCGGCCGCACTTGTTCAGAAGCTCCACGCGGTGCTCCAGCTCCGCAGCCGCCATGGTCATCATCATTGCCGCTTCATGGTCCGATTGCGACATGCCTGCCGACACGCTGCAGCTGCGATTGCGGAGGCCCAGAAACTGCTGGGTGCGCCGCTGCCGCCGCCAGGACCGACTGCCGGCCTCCGCAGCACTTGGACTGGTCGTGTGCAGCCGCGTTCCACTGCTTAATAGCGATAGACTCCACTTCGCTTGCCTATAGCTTGCTGCGCGCGGGGACGAGGGAAAATGAGCACCTGAGCAGCTGTAGATCTTGCGGACTGGGTGTAAAATTAAGAGACTTTGACGCAAACTGATTGTCCGCAAGCTGAAGTGTACATGCATCCAGATGGTCTTGCAAACTGCAATTGCGAGTGAACGCAGCGCACCTGAGATCGATCAAACTATGAAAACCTTTTCACATGGAGTCACATGGGACCCCCAGGTGATGAGAAGCATACGGCAAATATATAGCCCGCTCTTGCAGTGTGCTCGAGTAGACGGCGTCACTGGCACGGTACCGCTGCGTGGCGCGGCGCCAGCAGCCGCAGCAAACTTCCCTGCATATCTACACAGCAGCGCTCGCTTGGCACCATGTAGAAGCCCACAATGCTACATATGCTCACCAGGTCCAAACGTACCTAGCTGGAGCACTCGGAGTGGCGCGGCTGGCGGTCATATCAGAGGCGCTCGCGCGGCCGTCGCTGCGGCCAACACTGCGGGTCAACACGCTGCGCACCACCCCGGCCGAGGCGATCGCGGAGCTGCAGCGGCGCCTGGGGGACGCGGCAGCCGGCGCGCGCCCGCACCCTGTAGTGCCGAGCGCGGTGGTGCTGCCCGGCAGCGGCCCCAAGCAGCCGCGGTACGAGGAGCTCTGCGGTGAGGCGTACTGCTGCTGGAGTGTGTGCGCACATTGTGGTAGACAGGCAAGCCGGCCAGCTGGTTTACAGCCAGAAGCAGTAATTGTGAGGCCACAACTACCAGCAGGCGTTGCGCGAAGAACATGACGAAAATGCACCGCAGTTGCCGCCTGCAAGCCCAGAACATGCGAATGCTTGAACACCCTCTTTCCTTGCACAACCGCCTCCCACGACGCACCACCAACCACTTTCCACGCTCAGGAGGCAGGGAGGTGGCAATCAACCGGATAGCAGGGGAGTCTGTGCTGAAGGGGGCGGACGTCTTCAGCCCGGGCCTGCTAGCAGTCACCCCCGGCGTGGCCGCGGGCGACTTGGTGGCAGTGTCCGTGGCGCTTGAGACAAAGTGCGTCGCGTGGGGCGGGCCAGCGGCGGGTGATGGGCTTGCATGTTGCAGCTAGATGGCATGTATCTGTGTGCTGAGATCCGGGCATATCCTGGTGGGAGCGAAGCTTCTGACTAGCCGGATTATGGTGCAGTTTCAGAACTCCTGGCCGCCAGCCTCACGCGTTGACCTGTTTGACCGCCTCGACCCATCAGCGCCGCGCTCGCGATTTCTGCACTTATTCCTCATCCCCCCCTGTCGCCACCTCGGCCCGAACAGACCCAGGAACCTGACACGCGGCACCATCCTCCGCCCCGACGTGTCCGCCCGGCTGCCGCCGCGCGACCGGCTGCACATCGGGGTCGGCCGCCTGCTGGAGGGCCGGTCAGGCATGTTCCGCGCGAGCGAGGGGCTGGCGATAGAGATGGTGGAACGCGTCTATGACATCCCGCCCTGCAACGGTGCGCCTTTGAGGGCGTGTGGAAGGGCAGGGGGGGGGTTGGGGCAGGGGGCGTGCCGGCTTGCGGCCGTGCCCCTGTGGCGGGCGCTGGGGGCGGTGGGGGGTTCAGCTGCGGCGGGGCAGGCGGTCTGGGATTGAGGCTTGGCGGGTGTGGTGATTGCGTGAGAGAGCGGGGCTGTATTGCGCGTGCGCTCCACTCGATTGCGTCACGCGGCCGCCCACAAGGCAAGGCACGAGGGGCCCTGGCTGAAAGCGGCACAAGCTGACCGCTCCTGCCGTCCAACACACCCTTTTGACAACAGGCCGCCCCATTCCTCTTAACAACCCACAGCGTCCCCCTCAACCCATCACAATTTCTTTGCCCCCCTTTCCAGACATCCCCTCCTCAAATGCGATGGATGCATCTCATGTGCGCCACCCCGCGGCCCTGCCCCCCGCACCCCCAACCCCGCAGGCCTGCTGCGCGGCGACGCCATGCTCCAGGCGCTGCCCTGCATCGTGGCCGCCCACGCCCTCGACCCCCAGCCCGGCTGGACGGTGCTCGACATGTGAGGGCAAATGGCGTGCTGCCCCCCCAACTTCCGCCTACTCTTGGGCCCAATTGCAAACCCGACGCACACACCCGCGGTTCGATCTTCGTCGCTTGCTCGGCTTTGTCCAACCCTCAGACCCAGCTGCTGCGGCGCCTGCTCAGCATGCAGCCACCGATGTGCAAGCAAAGTACATCGCGCGACGACGCACCCGCCCCTGCCCCTGCCCCGCTTCCCGCAGGTGCGCGTCGCCCGGCGGCAAGACCACCATGATCGCGCAGCTGATGGGGGACCGCGGCCGCGTCATTGCGCTGGACCGCACGCGCAGCAAGGTGGCCGCGGTGGAGTCCCTAGCGTCAGACCTGGGCATCTCCATAATAGACGCCCGCGTGGCGGACTCGACGCAGCTCGCGCCGCCGCCGCCGGGGGAGAGCGAGCAGCAGCGGCGGCGGCGCGGCGGGCGGCGGAGAGGCGGCGGCGGCGGCGGCGCGGCGGGCGGCGGCGGGGCGCCGCCGGACGTTGCGGACGAGGGGGCCGACGATGGGGCAGGTGAGGCTGGCGGCGCCGAGGCTGGCCCCACACCGGTCAACCCACTGCCTGAGTTTGGGCCTGAGAGCTTCGATGCAATCCTGCTGGACGCCCCCTGCTCCGCGCTCGGCCTGCGGCCGCGGCTGCTGCACGACTGGCGGCTGGCGCAGCTGCACGCGACGGCGGGGCTGCAGCGGGCGCTGCTGCACAGCGCGGTGCACCTGCTGCGGCCGGGGGGCGTCCTGGTGTACTGCACCTGCACCATCAACCCCGGTGAGGGGGGAGGGTATGTGCCACGGGTGCGTGCGGCGTGGCGAGGGTGGTGGTTGGCGGGCTGGTTGTTTATGGAGAGTGAAGCGGGGTCCGCAACAATGCCTGCGCCCTGAACGTTGCATGCCTGGGGGTGGACGCCGGGTGGACCTTGGCGCACCTTGTTGTGATTTGCTGATATGCTCATATGCGATGCGCCATGGCGCGCCGGTGTCCAGCAGTGCTCCCAGCAATTTAGTTTGAGAGCCCACTCCCTCACAGCAGCAATCCCCTGTCTCAAATTTGGCACCTCGTGTCTGTCTCCACGTGATTCGCCGGCCCGCACCCAAAGGAGAGAACGAGGGCAATGTGCGCTTCGCCCTCGACCGCTGGCAAGGGGCGCTGGAGCTGGAAGCGCAGCCGCTGGTGCTGGGAGGCCCAGGGATCGAGGGCCCGGGGTGGCTGACGCTAGGGGAGGCGCGGCTGGTGCAGCGGTGGGATCCAGGGGCAGCACCGGACGACACCATCGGGTTCTTTGTGGCCCGGTTCAGGAAGACGGCGTCGACGGCCGCCTGAAAGTGCTAGTGCACTGTAATGTGCTGCATCTGGCTGGGCTGGTATGATTCTTGCTCACATTCCAGATATATTGTTGTCACCTGGTCGCGCCCAGCTGCAGCCTAGTGACTTGCTGGTAGTGGTGCTCCCAAACGTCGAATACAGTCAACACTCACAAGAAATTACAGAATGACAGGGCACAGCACTTTGACCATGGCAACAGTACCCAGGGGTGCGGAAGGCACAGCATGCAAGGCATCGGTTTTGGAGGGTTGCCACTCAGTGCTGCTGACTCCGCCGGAACATAAATTGTACAATGCAAGATCCGTGTACATGAGGACAGGGTCCATCTATCAGGGTGGCAGAATCACTTTGATGGTGGAAGGCACTCAACAATTAGCAGGGCAAAAACCATATACTGTCAAGGCCAGGTGTGCATTCAAACGGCAAGAGGGAGCCACAGTCAGCCATCTGAAGACTCGCTTCTCTGCGCCTTTCCCTCCCGCATCTTGACATACAGCGCGTCAAGCGCCTGAAACAGCTTGGGCAGCAAGCCAGGAACGCCGCGGCTGCTGTCCCACTGCTGCACGGCCAGCAGCTGCTCGCGCGTCGCGGCACCCCAATCGATGACATCAAGCAGCCGCTGCCAATTGTCCTTCTTGACCGCCACCCTCTTGCCCTGCCCCTCCACCCAGGCCTCGGCTGCTGACATGACATCTGGCTGCAGCTGTGCCTGCGAGATGACCTCGGTAAACACGGCAGGAGGCCACTCTGTGAATTCAGAGGGCGGCACCTGCGGCAGCGCCCCCCCCGCTTGACTGCACCAGCTGGCGCTGAATGCGCCGCGGCACAGGCGGTGCACCGCCGGCAGCAGCCGCACGAGCGCGGCCGGCTGCACGCTGACTGTGCTCAGCAGCAGCCGCGCCTCCATGGCGAGGCTGGACTGCAGCTGGTACTGGTCTGCCAGGCCGTACAGGGCCGGCAGCAGCTCAAGGGGCACCTCGATCGCCTCGCCATAAATGTGCCGTAACAGCAGCTCCACCACCTGCTCGTCTGCCTCTTTGAATCCCACAGCTGCTGCCTGGGCCTCGAGCATCTCTCCTCCCAGCATGCCCAGCAGCACCGGCGACGCCGCGGCCAGCACTACCCTGTGTGCCTGCCACTCGCGGCCACCGGCGCGCACGGCCACGTCGCAGAAGGGGCCGCCTAGCAGGCTGCCGCCGGGTCCAACTCCGTCGGGCGGCGGGGCGATGCGCAGGCGGGTGGCGAGGCCGGCCTGATTAACTGCAACAGTCAGCGCGATGCTGACCTGCAGCCTGCCGCCGCACGTGACCGCCTCCCGCAGCTGCCGCCACCTTAGGCTGGATGTCAAGCCATAGCCGCAGGTTAAAGCTCTTGGGCAAACAAACCCACGGCTTTCAGACAATCGTGTGCGCTGCTGACCAGTGTGAAACGCTGCGAATGAAAGTGAGAAGCGCACGCCCTCCGGTGCGTCTGCCTGCTTGCCTGCCCAGTACATGAACCACTGAACGTATCTGTCATTGTCCTGTGCTGCCTTGCCGCTCTTGGTCGTAAGCTTGAAGGGCCCGGCTGCAGCGTTGAATTCAACAGTGTGCTCGAACTGCTTCGGCGCCTGCTCGCTGCGCTCCACCTCGGCCGTCAGGTTGTCCAGCCACAGCCGCGCCACCTCCATGGCCCGAAATGTCGGGCGTGCGGCAGAGCCTTTGAGGTGCAAGCCGTTTGCAGTGATGGCGCACAGGCACAACACACACCTTGAGTCGGCTGTGGTCGTGCGGGGG